AGATAGCTGCGGGATGGAATAAACCACGAGAAAGGAAGGTTCATTAATAACCTTGGACAATTATACAAATATTTTCGAAAGCAATCATTGAACCGAAGGCATTAGAAGCCACGAGGTCAAATGCTGAAGAACTACCAAATAGGAAGATTTGCGTTGGTCGAGACTCGACACCGAATTTAATGTAAGTTGACTAAACTTTTGCATGCTAGCAAAAATTGCTTTTCTTGCCTCCATGCTAACATAACAGGTATACCACCGGAGGAAAAGGTTTATATGCTCAATATTGACCCGCGGTATAATCCGGTCAAGCAGAAAAAAGAAACTAGAGTCAAATAATAAAAGATAAAGTTATAGAAATTCGAAAGATCGGTTTAGTCCGAAAAGTCGAATCACTCGAACTTGCTATCTAACAACAACACATCATTACTTTCAAAATTACGAGGAGAAAGATGATTGCAGCTACACCAAATTGTCTCGGATGTCTCGGTAAATGCAATTTTAATTCAAGAAGATAAAGGTACACATTCTCCTATCTATTATAAAATGCTCTTAGATACAGAAACTACATATCTACATTTTGATAAGTTGGCATTAATTGTAGTTGCCCTAAATCTAAGGTTTTATTTTCAATGTCATTCAATTCTCGTAGTCACTATATTTTCATTGCGCAATATTTTGCATAAACATGAACTGTGAGGAAGGCTAGCTAAATAAGTAGTCAAACTAAGTGAATATGATATTGTTTATCAGTCCGTACGGCTATAAAATCACAAATTTAGCAGATTTCATGATTAATCTTAGCTCGAATATACTACCCCAACATATTATTTCTGGGATAATTCTCGGGATCTGGACCTTCTATATAATTAGGTCCGCAGGTACTAAGCTTTCCGAGTTAGGGACAATGCTTAATGCCTATCAGGGAAAGTAGTTAGATAATTCATAAAAGTTATTTTATTACTAACAACAAAGTCGAGTATGAAGCATATGCTACAGGGGCTTAAATTAGCTCGGAGACTCAGAGCAAAAATATTAATTTAACGATTGATCAAATCCAAGAAAACTATGCAACCCAAGAAAATCGAGTCGGATGTACTAGTCTCGGATCTACTGCTGATATCACTGACTCAGAAAGCAACGCCGGGCACTTATTGAGAAATATGATTTCCGGATCAAACAATCTCGGGATTGATCCATCTCTTATTTAGGCGATCCCTGATCTATCATCAATTAGAATGAAAATGAGGTAAGCCTGACTAATTTAATTTTAATTGGCATAATAAATTCATTTATTACTTGCAGAATGGGACTTTACCCAAAGACAAGTATGCTCTCGATAACTCTGAGTGCGTCTCATCCCGTACTGCCTGCCTTGTTGAAGGAGAATTATATTTGAGAATATTCAAGGCTCCAAAAGCTAATATTCCACATGGGCCAAACAAACAAAATATATGATGGGAGAAATTTATAAAGAAATCAGTGAAAATTACTCCCGTAATAAGGCTTTAAATCAAAACTCATCAAAGTCAGTATGAATATCTCAAATCAAGATATGGCATGATCCTCGACAACATTTTGGAACCTCCGTAGTTCCCGACCAGAGTACAAAATATTTGATAAAAAGAGCTTCAGTACCGTCCCTATGTTGGAACTGGACCATTTGAAAGTCCATCAATATCGAAACTAACTATCCGACTGGGGACTATTAAACTGCGGATTGTCAAATTATGATTCCAGTGGTTGAGTTTTCATACCTCAAAACTCAAACGCTAGGAAGATTACTTATACTTGAAGATTAGTCAATTTGACCTGACATTATAAGAAGTGATACAAACAATTGATTGCCTTGGGAGATAGAATTCCTAAGAGTAGTCCAATATAATTTACCAGCTCAACTCAGTTAGTTGTATTACTCATATCAAGCATAAACACTTCAAACAGTGTTGAATGAGTTCTTCAAAAATACGTATACTACACGTACACAAAAAGGATCGAGAACTCCATGTCAGAGTCAAGAATCCCACGATAAAAAACGAGAGTTTTACATCTAAGTCAAGATAAAAGTATGCAAATATGCCACCAGAATAAAGTTCACTTTGAACAAACACGCAACTTATATTCGGTCCAACAACGACCATTCAAGCTAAATATAAGCCTTTCTTAATGGCTAATTGTATTATGACTCGGATCGATTATCCCGTAAATCTCAAATATTATTTCGGACATGTGTTCCTCTCTACTTGGAAGTATGTTCATATACTCCAATTTAGATTCAAAATCCAATCAGATTAAATGTCTCTTCAGGACAAATCTACTAAGATATATATTTATTTGGGATCAATACTCCCTCAAACTCAAGGTCTTACCGGGGTCAATACTCCCGTAAATCTTAATGGGGTCAATACTCTTGTAAATCCTACCGGGATTAATAATCCCTCAGACTAAAAGTCTACTCGGATCAATCGATCCTATTTTACGCCCGAATGAAAAGGAGACGTCCTACTCATAGAGTTTAAAGCATATAACAGAGCTCTCTTTTATTTAAAAGTTAGACACCCAAAGGTGCAACTTTCGACATCGCTCAAGTAACGATGCATCCAAATATATTTTAAGTCTAAAAGACTAAGTATGAGCACTCAAATAATTTTTTAAAGTGCCAAGAAAAAATTGTACTCGGATAAATTCTCTAAAAAACCAAATGATGATATTAGACCCGAAAGATACGAGGAACACTGTAATATTCCCGGTCTAGGTTACAACCCTTTTGATAAAAAAAAAAAGGGTTAAGCAGTTATCATCTAAATATATACCTCCGAATCCCGTATGTTTTTCCTTTTCAGAAAATGGACCACATGGAAGGAATAATCAAATGCTCGAGATTTCATACTTCAAAGCTCTGACACTTGGAGGACTATATATATGAAAGGCAAAGAAGACTAGAAAAATCAAAACTCGAGTCAAGCTTAAGGTCTACCCAACAAATCGAAAGTTAAGAGCAAAATCACGAGCCAGAAACACAAGCCTGACTCGAAAACCTTTGAAAACATATTCATAAATATAAATGAATGTTTCAAAAAAGGTTAAAGGCAGAATATTAATTAGGGTAAAAATGCACATCTTTGTACTTACTCAAAAACTGTTGTAACTGAAAACAGTTACGGATGAAAAAGCATTACCCTTGTATTCATTTGAAAACTGTTATCAATAAAAATAGTTATGGGTAAAAATTCATACCTTTATATTTAAAACTATTGTAAACAAAAATAGTTATCCCCTTGTACTAACTCAAAAAAAAAAACTATTGCAAAAGAAAAACAGTTACGAGTGCAAGCTTATATCGAATCTGTTAAAAGAAAAAACAGTTGCAAAAAGAGTTATAGACGATACACAAACACATGTGAAATGTTATGAAAGTTCAATGTAAAAACTTTCTCCAAAACATTGTTAAAGAAAAACATATGAAAATTCCTATCTCTCTTTTGTATATTTACACCATTATGAAGTTGAGACGTCTTCTTCATTAAGTGTCGTTCATAAAAGGGCCCTCTTTTATAATTCGTGCTTATTCAAAAAGTCACGGAGCATTAAAGTATTTTTAATGCAAAGTTGAAGGGTAAAACAAAAACCCAAACATTAAAATAGGTAGAAAATAAAGCCGAAATATATATATATCAAACTTTGCAAACATAAGGCAAAGATTTTTCTTCAAACCCCGAAACAAGACATGGGTAAACTAACCGATTATTGACGAAAGGAACATAAGCGACGGAGTTATCATATGAATATCTAAGTTCTGCACTCTTTTTTCCTTCGTCCGGTTTTTGTCCCTATTGGGTTTTTCTGGCAAGGTTTTTAATGAGGCAGAGGCAAGGATGAAAAGGATAAAATCTTCCACTTCCCGGTCACATCATAGTGAGTAACCGAAAAGTGGGGGGACTATCTGTATTGGTGAAAATTAGACTCGCCATGTGGGTCTATTAAATGGCGACACGTGTCAGCAAAGTTTGAAGAAAAGTGAAGAATGACATGTAAAGACGATATGTGAAACACCCCCGGGACCGAACATACCGTGCCTGTTAGCCTCGGAACTGATCATCATGAAATAGCCCCGATCAGGTGCGGGAGAATATCTCATAAATACCAATGAGGAAGGAATCAATTAATCCCGGATTATATGGGATTTACCATCATTACACCATCAGTTACAAATCAATTATTAATAAATGCAATAAATGATTGTAACGGTCAGAACAAGGCAATCAATTACAAGATTGACTCAACAGGCACGGGATTGATTCAACAAGCACGGGATTGACTCAACAGGCACGGGATTGACTCAACAGGCACGGGATTGACTCATCAGGCACGGGATTGACTCATCAGTTACGGAATTAACTCATCAGTTATGGAATTAACTCATCAGTTACGAAATTAACTCATGAGTTACGAAATTCTAGCATTTACACAGCTGTTACAAGTCTTCCAAAAGTAATGGATGAATTGAGTAAATGCTCATAATGGACACATAATTCAAGGAGAATGATTACTTAGATTTAGTCCTATAAATAGACATATTTTTACCACCATGAGGGGAATCTAATTTTCTTCTCTACAATTCTATACATTGTAATTTATAGCATATTGCTCTCAAGTTAGCCATAGTTCGGCCCTACAAGCTCTGTTCGGCTCATTATCCTATCAAGGATTATTCAATAAGAATTCTTTCTTCTCTGCTTTATTTTTATTATATTATCTGTCATTGAATTTGTTTTCCACTTCTCTATCATGTTGTATTAACAAAATTTTATATCTTTCGGATTGAATCGGTTGCTTGTGGCCCGTCACATAAAATTATTGCTTTGATCTTGAAAACTATTTTTTGGGTTAAACATTATTCCATATTTCAACCCAGAATTTTTAATCCAATTAGCTGGAGAGAAGGAAGTTAATATATTATTGCAAATAGAGCCTCAGTAGTGGCTCTGGTTGCTGGTTATCTCTCAAACGCCATTCTTTCGTTGATGAACCATTGTTGTGAAGTCCGTATTGAAATCAGAATAGAGGGAAGCAACTTTAGATATGTTGCCGTTCAGCTCCTGAATTAGGCCCACGTTCTGCACCATACTGTCATGCGATCTCGACTGATGGTTCTCGTTAACCTGTTGAATCAACAATTTGTTTCGATCCAACACCGACTGCACTTGTCTATAATTGTTGGAAAAAGAGTTCCACATCTCGGAGTCATTACCTTCCTCCATACTGTGATTATTAGTCTTGCGGGAGTTGGATTTGGCTATGGTTTCACGGCGGCGATTAAGGTTAGAGGTGTCTTCCATAGTTTAATTTAAGAACTGATGAAGCAATGGAATTGAAGTTGTTTCTTTCAGTCTTGGAAAGTGTAGATGCAGAAAATGTTTGATATAATTTCTGCATGTTTTTGTGCTTTATATAGAGGAGGAGAAGTGTAGGTACATACGAAGTTTTTGTGCTCTTTCACTCGGCATCGGTTGATCGTTTATCCGTGAGAATAGACAGGAGTAGAAAATGGGTGAAGGGGAATTGGAATAGAGTAAAAATATCTTATAGCGGATTCTTATTGGACATCAAAAAACAATGAAAAAGTGCAAAACGTCACAATTTCGCCAGCACAAGCTTAATCCAGAATAAAGGGAGAGGCTTGGGTGGGGAATCAAAGGGAAAATATCTAGAGAGCTCTTCACAAAAAAGAACAGTAGTACTACTTTTTACACCCATTTTGTGTCTCTGACCATAGTTTTTCTTTTTTCTTTTTTACTATTGTTAATTTTAATTTTAAAATGAGCGAATTATTTTTGAAGTATAAATATTGTGAATTTCGACAATTATCAGAGTAACTACTTAATTCAGTCGCATAATTTTTTAATCAAGAGAATTAATAGGTTGAAAACTAGCCAAACTAATAAGGTACTTGACTAGTTTGACGGTGTAGAAACAGAAATATGAAAGTGGCGTACACAATGCGTTCCAAATAAAAGAGGAGTCGACCATACTAGTGAACTCTCTAAGTGGAAAAGAACACTTATTGACCCCACGAGTGTGCTTTTGGCCTTTTGACCACCTGCTTAATTTGGTCCCGAGAGTTCTTGGAACATATTTCATTTCAAGCAAATGTTCTTCGTTTCTTTTTTTCCGGAAGGATATTTGAGTGTTGCCCTTTAAAATAAACTATTATCATCTCCAGCCCCTTGGCCTTGCTGGAAAAGAAGCGGAACATGATCACTATGCATCAAAATAAGGGGTGAACCTGGACGAGGATGACCTGGTACCTCTTGCAAAAATGAGTAATGACTGGGTCTATAGGACCCAGTGTGAAGGGGTAAGTGTAGACACTTAAGAACTCCTCCACGCGAGTGGTAATGCTCTCTTCGGAATCGGGGATCTGTACCACGACCTCAGCCCCCCAGCCATGTTCTCTCTCTTCACAGCCTCTAGATGTTTCGCTGTTATCGAGCAAATGTATCTCGATACGTGCTCACATCGGCCAGGGATCGATGGAGGGTTATCGACTTTGAAGTCGGACTTTAGGACGCAAGGGCCGGGAACATACTCGTAAAGGAGCAGTTCCACCTGCATTTTATCACCGGCCGCCCGGGAAGAAGAAGAAGGAGAAGCTTTCTCCTTTTGTGGGACGGTCTTGGAGGTTTTTGCCATTGATTTAGGTAGAAGTAAACGAAAAGAGATGAAAATAGGTGTTTTGATACTAACGGAATTGACTCAACGGGTGGTGAAAGAGAATAGATGGAGAGAGGAAGAGACTTAGAAAACGTGGTGAAGGGGGAAGTAAAGTTTTGATTCAACCAGGAAGCCGGTATTTATAGACTCACGCCGACGGTTCGGTGGCGCTAGTGGCCGACCACCCACTGACGGACATTAATGATTTGGGGAACTGTACCGATGGGACGTTTTGGTCACCTCAACTACTTACGTCACAGGGATGACGTCATTCTTGGGCTCTCCAGAAAATCGAGGGTCAAGTCGTTTCTTATCTTTTTACTTTAAGAAACGAGGGGACTATCTGTATAAGGTGGAAATCGGGGCTGCCCGATTTCGTCCTTTGATGGAAAAAATGATACCACGTCGGAAGGCCAGGACATCGAGTTCGGGGTCGAAGTTTCTTTCCAAGATCGAGATCGATATCACTTACCGTGGTCAGAAGAGGTCATACTTCGAGATAATTTCGGTATAGTTCAGTAATGGAAAGAGCAAAATTCCCGCAACAAGCCTAAGATCATGGCATGAATTTCTATATGGATTGGCCCTCGGCTGTTAATCAGTTGTGAAATATGATTTTCTACTATAGTTAGAAGTGTACTGATAAGTAGGGATTTTGACCGCTTATTTGCTCTCTTTAACTTGCATTTTAGCTCAAAAATGCTTAAACGTATTCCCGGAAACTAACGAAATGTGCTTACTTGCAGGAACATTGGGAAACGAGCAAAATAAGTCAAAATCAACTCATAAAGAAGCAAAAAGTGAACAAGAGCCAAAATTGGGTAAAGAGGCCAGCAGTGCGGACCACACAATTTTAGTGCGGCCGCAGAATGAGGTTCGGAGATGAGGATTTTAGACAACTCAAACAGTGCGGACCGCACCAAAAATATGCGGCTGTAGAAGGACAATTGCGGCCGCAATCATTATTATGTGGTCCGCAAGATTGGAGATTCGGAGAGTTGATCAAAGTCCAAATTGTGATGAGTGCGGACCGCAACACTTTTGTGCGGCCGCAGAATCCGAAGTGCAGCCGCAATCAGTTTTATGTGGACCGCAGAAGACTTCAAGTTCTAGCCTCAAAATCCCAAGTGTGCGGACCGCACTAGAATTGTGCGGCCGCAGAAGGCCTTTTTGCGATCCGCATCAGAATTATGCGACCGCATAACCTCCGTATGGGCATTTTTGTCAGATATGTTCAGCTTAGTATAAATACAATTTTTTGTTATTTTTAGGTCAAGTTTAGTTTGCAGAGGTGCACCTGAACTTTTTTTCCTTGCTTCTTTAAGTAATTTTGTAATAGATTGACTTCTTATCACTAGATTTTCTTTGTTTCATCTATGATTATGCATTCTACCTTTATTTCTTCCTGTATTTCTTCATTTCTTATGAGTAGCTAGATCTTTAGCTAGGGTTGTGACCCAACCCTACTGCGGATACTTAATGAGTATTTAATTTTAGGGCTTGTTTGTGATTGGGTTAGTGATATCTAGCCTTGTTTATGCTTAAATTATAGAATTAATGGTTGCAAACAGTGATTCATGCCTAACCTAGTCTTTGCTTGAGAAAGAGAGACTAGGTTAAGGAAAACTTGGCTAGAAAGGAATTGGGGTGAATTTAAGAAATTTATAGACCCAATTAAAGGGTCAAATCTAGAGATAGTAAGACCCGATTTGAGCATATATCACTTGATTTGTGCAAATACCCATTTGGGCTTGAGAAAGCTAAATCGGGCAAAATCACTCAAACTACTGAGAGGTATAGATTGAGTAATTGTGTGTGTTTGCTATACCACAAACCCGATAAATCAAAGTTGCCCTATAGTTTACAACCCGTTAGGTAGCCACCTAGGTGGAAGTCACAACCCTAGATTCCTTTATCAATTGAAAAACATCTCAAAACCCAAAAATACTATCTTTTAGGTTTATCTTTGCAATCAACAGAGTAAAGTAGAAGTAATACACCAATCAACTTTGTCGAAGTACAATTTAAGCCAAAACTTGCAATCAACTTAGATATACACCTAATCCCATATTCTAACTCCCTGTGGATTCAATCCCGACCTTTGTTGGGTTATTATTGCATTACCGCCTTGCTATTTAATTGTGGTGTGGATGTGGCCGAGATCAACTTTTAATGCGGTTGTTGGGGAGGCTGTGTAGCCGCACTCATTTTTGTGCGGTCCGCAGTCCTTTAAGTTAGGCAACAAATGAACTTCAATTCTGCGGCCGCACACATTTTTGTGCGGTCCACATTGGACTTATGGGGCCGCACTCATTGTTGTGCGGTCCGCAGTGATAGAATTCTAGAGACCTAGTAGTCTGAACCTGGGGCTCTGCGGCCCCACTCATTTTGTGCGGTCCGCAATAGGCATTCTGCGGCCGCACTCATTTTTGTGCGGTCCGCACTGCCCTTATGAGACAACAATCCTGCAGTATTCCATCATGCTTTTGTATACACTTTGAGATTCAATTGTGACTGATCTCTAATGCTTATGTGCTGCAGATAATGGTTCTCTCACGCGGTAAAGGAGATACACCACAAGGGAGGGAAGAACCCTCCCTAGGCCGGGAAGAACCCTCCCTAGGCCGGGGTAAAGGCAAGAGCAATCTACCTCTTGTATTTCAAAAAGCTATCAGCAAGAAGGCAATCGCCAATAGAGACCCGGACACTTCTGAGACCAGTGACTATGTCCTATCTGGGAAGCTTCAGAGGGTTACTCCGTGCAAGCACAGTCGGAAGCCCAGTCACAACTAAGACAACAATTCCCTGGGAGACTTCATTTGGTTGATGAATCCTCAACTGCCCAGTCCATCCGAGGGTTTGGAAGAGGGTAGCCAAGATTCTGAACCCTCTTTCTCACATGCTCCTACTGCTCCCATAAATATTGATGACGATGATGATGTCCCAGATGATGGGAGAGGGGGAGGCACTGCAATGGCAGGGTTAGAGAGGTCAAGGCGACCAGAGATTTGGGAGGATGGGTTTGTTAGTGCAAATTCCTTTGCCAAGTTTCGGGAACTGTGGCCATAGAGGTTGCTCACTCTTGAGCGACAATTCTTAATAAAAGACTTGAGTAAACACAATCCCAATGTCCTCAGGAAATTCCAAGAGCGGAAAGGTTGGAGCTGGTTTACCAACAAAGTGCTAGATGCCAATGAGTACCTGGTCAAGGAGTTCTACGCAAATGTTGCTCACATCAACCAGGGTATGAAGGTTACAAAAGTGCGGAATCTGAAGATCCGCTTTGACTCTTGTGCACTGAACTAGTATGTGGGGTTTGAAGAAGTTGAGGCAGTGCAGTATTTAGAAAAGCTAGCCATGGGTGATGCAGCTCGTCCGTGGTTGGCTGACATTTTAGCAATTCCAGGGTCTACTCCTCCATGGCTCACATCTGGAGTTCCAATTCTTTGGGCCACCCTAAACTTTGAAGCAAAAGGGTGGCAAACGTTTGTGTGTAGCCGCCTTGACCCATGCCTCAACAAAAACATGGTCCTAATCCCCTGTGCAGTTCTGGTGGCCTCCATTATGGCTGGGTATCCGATAAATGTTGGTGTCATTATGTCCACCAACATCACTGTATCTATTC